GACCCACCGACAACACATTCTCTCCTTATAAACACACAACAACACGTCAGAAAAATGCCGGACTCCCACAGTTCGGTCATTCCCGACACTATATGGCCGCCTTCGGCCATGGATCTTCACCGATCCCAAATATCTAAATTGTCTAAAATGTGTCAGAACGCATGGGCCATAGTCCCACTTCTGAAATTTATAGGTGAAAATGGCGTCGACCGATCGAATAGATCGGGAACGGGATTCGAACACGGATCTTCCGCTTGCCGGACGACTGCTTTAACGAATTAATCTATCCCAGCCAACCGACAACACATTCTCTCCTATATTATGTTATAAGCATAATACGTTAGAAATATGATTTAAGAAAAAAAAGTTATGAACACTTTGTAAAAAATAATAATTATATAAATCATAAAGGGCGACACTAAGAAGTACAAATTTTATTCATCAAAAATATCAGATATTAACACTAAACCTATCAAGCAGTAATACTAACTGGCATGTACTGCTTCACAAAAGTGAGAAGACCGAATTTATTTAGAATTTGTAACGTTTTTATTATAAAACTTGCTCCAATAATATAACTTATTCAAGCGTTTTCCTCGAAAGAGTCTCGGAACTTTGCAGAATTGCAAAATAAGAAAGCGGTCACTTTGACCGCGGTAGGTTTAGTGTTAAGATATTTTGGCGGAAATATAAATGATGGGAGAGTGAAGGAAAAGAAAGGGCGCGTTTCGTCCTGGTCCCGCTAGAGGACTCGTCAAGTAAGGCTATCTAGCGGCCCCTGTCTGTGAAATGGAGAACATTTTTGTCGATGTTTCAAACGTATTTAAAATGTAGTTAGCAATGATCGCAGAGGATTGTAACCCTGTTACTTTNATTAACACTAAACCTATCAAGCAGTAATACTAACTGGCATGTACTGCTTCACAAAAGTGAGAAGACCGAATTTATTTAGAATTTGTAACGTTTTTATTATAAAACTTGCTCCAATAATATAACTTATTCAAGCGTTTTCCTCGAAAGAGTCTCGGAACTTTGCAGAATTGCAAAATAAGAAAGCGGTCACTTTGACCGCGGTAGGTTTAGTGTTAAGATATTTTGGCGGAAATATAAATGATGGGAGAGTGAAGGAAAAGAAAGGGCGCGTTTCGTCCTGGTCCCGCTAGAGGACTCGTCAAGTAAGGCTATCTAGCGGCCCCTGTCTGTGAAATGGAGAACATTTTTGTCGATGTTTCAAACGTATTTAAAATGTAGTTAGCAATGATCGCAGAGGATTGTAACCCTGTTACTTTCCATTGTGTGGTCAGAGAATTCGATCGGCTTCGTTGAGGACGCAACTTTGTAGCGATTCTCGTCGAACGATCGAAGCAGACACCTTCCGCCACGCGTTGAAGTCTCCGAACTACTTCGCAGTTTACGATAGAACAACGTCCCAGTTGATCGCAGTAACGTCCGCGTGGAATCACCATTTCCTCGAAGCACAATTAAAGCCGTTTCCGATCTCGATTCCCATTGATACAGCTGCTCGGAACGGGTTCCAGTGAAATTCAGGTTCACAGTTCAATAGCTGGGGCCATAAAACTCCGCGTTTTCCGCGGGAGCGTGCAGCTCCGACGGGAACTATCGGCGTCTCGGGATCTCCCATTGAAGCATTAATCAAAATAATCAATCTAGCGGGGCCGCTCACGAGTCCCATAGCGCGGAGTTTCTCCATAAAACCAGAAACCTGGTATATCGGTAGGATTTAAACCATCGCGGCGATTCCGATCGCAAAGAAAACGCTTTCTAACGGAACGCTCTTGGACTCACGCTGTCCGCCTCTGCTTCCCTCCATCCCCGATAGAGCGCACATGTATATATGTTCCATACTAGTTTACCGGGTCTATATAATATTCCGTGTACCGCGAAAGTCCCGGTCTCGCGGCCGGACCGCCGCGCTGCGGCGACCGGCTTCGCCGACACGCGTGTACACTAGATCATATTGCAGCGCGGACAATGAGCGTTTCGTAGGCGGAAGCGATCGGGTCCCGAGGCCGTGCCGGTTTTCGCGTGCACACGGACGGCACCGTGACCCCTTTCACACAGTCGCGGTGACAGCCAAGGATCATCTGGCGTACGGGAGCCATTTCCAACGCGTCCGACCGCGCGGAGATCTAAGATCGTTGCCGAGAGATTATAGCCACCGCCGCCGCCGCCGCTGATGCCGCTGCATCGCTGGTCCGACGATCCGGGCTCGCATCTCGCGATCATTACCAGTTTGTCAACCTTCCGGCGCTCTTTCTCAGGTACCCGTGACATCGATTAATCAACGCCACCGTGCGCCCTGGCTGACGCTACGATCCCCACGTCGCGGTTCCCCGTTTTCACCGGGACTCGCGCCGCTAATAAACAAGTGTATCCGCGCAGACCGTCCATTCTAATTGCCGAGGAACGAGCCAGTTTCTCACGACTGCCCTGCGAGAGCCGGCCGATTCGAGTCGCCGGGCATTCATTTGCATCTTAACGAACAATTTTCCCCGCTCTCCGCTATTATTTCGATGTGATCTTCCTTCTCGGTTGCGAGAGAATATTCTTGAACCCGTAGAATCTGAACTTCCTAATGAAAATATAACGGGGTGGCGAATACAAATATAACGCAGTGTGGTTAGGATCATTTGTAATATTATTTGTCAGTTTCTTTCAATATATTTTTCAGAAATACTTCCTCTTGGCGGGTTAGTTTTTTTTCTGTAGATCTTAATAGAACGCGTGAAAATTTGAATTGATTGCCGGAAATTGGACAGTTAACTGACGATATTTATGATCTGGATTCAAGTGAATCTGAAACCAGCCGCCCAGTGTTAATGAATATATGTGTCCGACACGTATGCGAATAATTCGGTCATGAACGCGACGGTCATGAAAATCGACCGATCGATCACTTTTTCAAGTCCTCTGGATGATTCGACACTCCCGTTCGGGATCTATTTCTAGCTTCGGAAGGTTCGGACCGTCATCGAGTCACCCACGCGGATGCGTCAGGTGAAATCCAGAATCCGAGCGTTTCCGGTTTACGATGAAATATGGGTGCGCTGAGAATGACTCGTTCTATGTTCTTTGCGGTTTCTGCATTCGATGCGGTCTATAGAATCGATATATTAACTTATTGGTTAGCTTTATTTGGAGGAAAGTGAATTAACTAAAGCATAGATTACTATTACAATAGCAGGACTGCGGATTTTTATGCTGAAAAAAAACTGTCTTCATCAATTGTAAAAAACAGAAACTAAATAGCAAGGTCATCCTTTCTTTAATCATTTTGAAAAATTAAAACTAATTGATTCGCATTTTGAAATTCCAGTATTCTTTATACTATATTGAATTCTAAAGAAATATCCAATATTGTCATAAATGCATAAAATCTGCAATCTGGCGATAACCAATCTTGCTATTTCGAGGCTGTGTCTGTGATCTCCCAAACTGCATTCCAATGCTTTATTCAGATAGAGCAATTTAATCCGTTATCAGAATTTGTTCACTTTTGACAGATTTAAGGAGACGAGACGCAAGAATATTTAATAAACTCAAGCACCAAGGCTTGCCCGACAAAGTAACTCCGTTCGTAGCTACTAAACGCGCGTAATACTTTACACGCTTCCAGACCGCGATGAAAGAAGTTGATCGCCACTTCGAGCATCCTCGAAAGAATAAAATGGTTCCCAAGACGCGGGAGAGTATCGTCGTAAATTAGACCTCGATGCTCGTCGGTTTCGAGGCGGTTTTATTGTCGGCCGACAGGCGTCTAACTTTACGAGCGGCCGTGTGCTCAATCTCGTACACTACCCAGCCACCCCCTCGTCGTTCGCTCTTCTTCTAGGCATGCTAATTCTTGTGACGTGCGTAACATTAACCTCTGACGTTTAATCCGGTAGAAAACGCGGTCCGCGCGTGGTCGGCCCTTTACGCGGATCCTTCGGCGATCCTTCGTCCCAGATGTACAGGGTGTCCGTTCGATAAAGTCAACTTGGATCGCTCGAATTATGAAAAAATTTTCCCAATTTTGTCGTTCGTTTTCTCGCGTACCGTGGGATTCGTGACACCGTGTACAGTCGGCAGAGTCCGCGACGAAAAGAACGGCGGATTCTGTGCCGCGCGATTCGCTATTTGCTTCCACTCGCTGTCCCCGTAAGGAAGTTACCGGGATTACTTGCCTTTCGCAGAAACCGTGGCAAAAATTCGTTGGCAATAACTCACCACGCCGTTGATCTCCGCGAGCAAATGTATTGTCATCGGCGGAGCCGCTTCTGGCGAGGCATTTTCCCCGTTTAAGGAGAACCATTTGGAAAATTAAGAGACCAGGACCGCCCCTCGGTCTCCTGTAACCGTGGGAACAATTAACGCCGCGATCTAATAGATACAGCTGTAACGCGAAAGACAAATATTTCACGCGAGGATCCGTATATTCAGGACAAACTAAGTATAGGATCCTCGAGTGTGAAACTTCTAGCAGAAAACGGCAGATTTTTCCTGCGCGCGCTGGTAATTAACTAAAACGGAGAGGATATTATCATAATCACGGAACCAACAGTCTCGTTACACGGCAACGGTGGCCATTAATGAACGCAACGCGATTGGAGGTCATAAACGGCACCCAGCTTCCCAGAAGCGTGGTCGACCAGTCTATTAGCGGCGAGTAGAAGAAATCATTCGCTATGCGTCGAATGATAAGAGGCGGCTTATGAAAAACTTGATTAGCAAGCCGGTAAATCACTGACCAAACGATCCAACCACCGGCAATAGAATTCCCTCGGATCGCGCTCCCGCGCGGAATCGAAAAAGTTGCTATGAATTTTATGCTCAATAAACAATCGTCGTTCCCCAGATCGAAAGAAAATACCACCCGCGAGAAGCCCGACCAAATTGGCGCGCGTTTACGATATCTGTCGATAAACTATCTAAGCTTCTAACGTTCCCCCCCGATCTGCCTACGGTCGAATCACCGATCCGGTCTTTTCTGATTATAGTCGTTCTTCGGGCGTACCTACAACAACCTGGCCAGCATCTCGGAATGCAAGAACAACGGTCGGTGCGTGATCAACAAGAAGAACCGCACCGCGTGCAAAGCGTGTCGGCTGCATAAGTGCCTGAACGTGGGCATGTCGAAGTCGGGCTCCCGGTATGGTCGTCGCTCGAACTGGTTCAAGATCCACTGTCTCCTGCAGGAACAAGCCAACGGCAGTCAGGCCGTGAACGTGACCCCTGGCCCTGGATCTCCGTTCGGTCCAGCTTTCCTGCCCGGTTACCTGCCTCAGACTCAGAGTCAACAGGCCTCACCTAGTCAGGAGGACCTAGCCCTCCAATCGCACCTCCTACACGTGGCGATGCTGAAGAAACGGCGCAAGGTGGACGACGAGTCGCCTCTCCCGGAGGACATGGCGCTACTGAAGAAACGGCGCAACGTGGACGACAAGTCGCCTCACCCGGACGACGTGGCTCTGCAGAACCAGTTACGCCTGCTGGCCTGGCAGAAGGAGCGCGAAAGGGTAAGCAGCAATCCTCAGCAGCCCCCCACAACACCGCCCAGGAACACCACACCTCTCCCTTTCTACAAACAACAGCAACAGCACGCGGTTTCGCCGATGTTCCCCATGAATTTTGCTCAAAAGGACGTCTGCGTGCCGTCCAGCCCTTCGGAAGTCTTCAGACCCTACCTTCCGACGTACAAAAGGAGGGCGGACACGCCCAGCGATAGCGGCGCGTCGTCGGTCGACGGCGACGCCGACGGCGATGGCGACGCCGACGGCGATGGCGACGGCGACGGCGATGGCGACGGTGACGGTGACGGTGGCGACGGCCAGGACACCGAATCTAGAAGCAACTCGGCGCTGAGTTATTTCAAGGCCAGGGCAGCGTCCCCGACTCTCTCGGAGAGGGATTTCCTGCCCAGGAAGTTCAGAGCCACCGTCACCCTGACGACTGGTTTTCACCCTCACCATAGTCTAGGTCTGATCTATCCGCCGCCAGGCTTGGTGACGCCAGCAGCGTCCCAGCACTCGCCCAGAGGCGGCGATTTGCTGCTGGTTAGTCCCAGCCCAGGCGGCCTAGCCGTCGAACAGGACGAGCCGATCGATCTCAGCGTCCGATCCGGCAGAAGCTCCCCGAGACCGAGTCAATTGTCCGAGGAGGACAACAGGTCTATGGAGAACGTCTGCAAACTGAACAGCCCGGCGAAGGAGGAGGCGACCACCAAGAGCAAACCGTTGGACCTGAGGCTGGGAGTGAGGCCGGCGGAGCTGCCGTTGTCGTTGTGAACTTATCGGTGGAACTAGCAGGCCCAAAACGGGCTGGTTCTGAGCTCTGATCCGAACTTGGGTACTGGTGAATCCTCGTTCGAGGAGGCCGGCTGACGGAAGGCTTCCATGGGAGTCGACGAGGATTCGGTCTCTACGGGAGAACGGAGACCTCGGAGACGCGACTGAGAAGAAGATGCAACATGACGAAGGCATCGACGAAGCATCCGAGAGCTTCGATGGAGGATCGTACTGGAGCAACGACGTCGAATCGCGAGAATGTGTTCAAATCTGTATATAGGTGTCCGTTGAACCGATCCAAGAGTCCAGATTAATTTATTACGGTAGCGGCTAGAAAGCGAGCGAGACGGTCGATCTAATCGTTGATTTCACTTAGGTCCATTATTCTGACATGTAGAGGTTTTTCTGCCGCGTGTCGTGTCGCGTCCATACACGCACAGACACAAGCACAAGCGCGCGCGCGCGCCCGAGCATGCGCTGTCTCGACGTGCCCGTCAAAACGGATTCCGTGCATCTTCTCGGATAGAATATCGTTTTTTCTATTTCTCTTTTTTCTTTTTCTTTTTTCGTACTGGTTCGAGCGATTTACGTGACAAAAATTTCGTCGATATCGGCCAACGTGGAAATTAATCGAACGACTATGTGAGTTGTAACAATCACGTAAAACTATTACGCTTGTACATTATTTATGATTACATTTGTAAGTTGAACTTACCGAACATCGCGAGACGCGCACCTGAAAATTTTCATTTGACAAAGATCCTTCCATGTTCGATGGAAGGATTCGAGAATCGTTTGACGACCTATCCAGTTTTAGTATTTCCATTTCAGAAGGTGTGCGTGAACCTTCCGACAGATTTATGAGTCCTGTACAATGAAACCTGGGGATTCGCAGATATATCGGCCAGTAGTCGAGTGCCTTAATATAATATATTTATAGAAATATTGTTTTTATTATACATATCTGTATAACTTGAAATACCGGCCCGTCCTGGGACAGGATCGCGCCTCGATCGGCGCGCGCGATCGCTCGGCCAATCCGTGATCATCTGTTCGAATCGGATTCGATCTTCTCTTCTCTGCTTTTTCGTACGGCGAAGCGTGTGCGCGCGGGTCGAGGTGACGCGGATACGGCGCTCGTCGCGCGTCCGCGACCCCGTCGCCGACGATCGAGGCCAGTAAATGAAACGTACGGGAGGAGTGACGTCAGGTATCATCAATCAATCGACCCGCGCATCCTGTAAATACGCGAAAATGGAGATATGGGGGACAGGACTTCGTCTACGAATCAGAATACTGCTTCTGCACTTCCGCTTGGTGTACGACCTCTCGGCTGGCGCGACAGGCGAACGTATATTTGTTTTCTCTGTTTTTATTTTCTTTCCACCTCCTCCTCCTCCTCATCCTTCGTCCGCCGTCCTATCGATGAATCTTCTTTCCTTTCCATTTTGTACATAATAGCATGTAAGCGGTGAACTCCTAGCGGCCAGTACATACACGTAACGCGGAATTAAATATTTTTGTTTAATCTACGGTCATTGTGTCTCGTTTTTCTCGCATCCCTCCCTCATCCGGCAGCTGTTCGAGATCGAAAGCAGATTCGAAGGTGAGTAAACGCTTCTTGGTGATTTAGACCACATTCGAAGGTTATTTTATTTTGTATTTTATTTTGTATTCGGTATTTTAGTTTGAAGCTTCGATTTTAATCGTTTAAGGTTAGAGGATAGTTGCGGAAAGGTTATCTGCTGGCGAGCGCAGAATTTAGCCGAGAACGCATGCCGAGTTCATTTCGTACGATATGCTTTCGAAATATGTGAAACATGCTAAAATGCTATATGCATGCAATCAAATGGAATCAGAAATAATGGACAAACTGATAAAACGGATGTCGAAGTTAGTCCAAGAAGTAATTAAAAAACGCGGTGGATATATCGTCGAAAAGAAAATGTAATTTTCTTGTATAAAGTAGACGTTATTTTTATTATAATATAAAAAAAGTACATGCATGTATTTGTTATAGTTTAATACAATTACCTTTGAAATGCATTGAAGAAATTATAAGAATTTCTTATAGGTTTCTTAAATTTATCTAATATTCTATTAGTGTACCTATTTCAGTTTAATACAGTTACCTTTGAAATGCATTGAAGAAATTCTAAGAATTTCCTATCGGTTTCTCAAATTTATCTAATATTCTATTAGTGTACCTATTTCAGTTTAATACAGTTACCTTTGAAATGCATTGAAGAAATTCTAAGAATTTCCTATCGGTTTCTCAAATTTATCTAATATTCTATTAGTGTACCTATTTCAGTTTAATACAGTTACCTTTGAAATGCGTTGAAGAAATTATAAGAATTTCCTATCGGTTTCTCAAATTTATCTAATTTTCTATTAGTGTACCAATACTTTTAGAAGGCAGTGTACGTGAAAGACGCGGTAAACAATCAATCGGTGACTCAATTTTACGCCCGTTTCAAAACCGATCAGATGGCAGAGGACATATTTATCGTGAAACCGAGTATACGGAGCATCAGCTATGCTAATGCAATGTGCGCATCTCGCACACGAAGATAGATCCCATCCCGGCAGTCGGCGCGGATCGCAACAGGAAACGCAAGAGCGTCGTAAAATCGTTAAGCTCCGTAACTCTGGTATCCGATCATCCCACGCGGTTAACCTTGGCAAGTCGATCGTTCCTAGCGCGACCGGATCGTGCGGGAACGATGCATCTCGTCCCTGTTCCCCCGGTCCACGCGATGCGTCCTCCCGCACGACCGCGATCATCGATGCTAATCGAGCGTGGTATTATTCGCGGCGCGATAATAACTTCGCGTAAGCCCGTGGAGAGAGATCTCGCTCGGATTCACCGGCGTGAATCGCGATCAACGATCGGAATCATCCTCGGATCAGAGCCCCTTAGTGCGCGCTCCAAAACTCATCGGGCCACGGCGTTTTATTGCGGCCCATCATTCACCGTATCACGGCCCATATATCGAATCATTCATTTCGCGCGTAATGTATGCGGAACGTGGGACGCGTATGGGGCCCCGTTTCGCGCGCGGTAGGTATCGCTCGAGAAAACTGGTACACCCTGAAAACTCGCTGCTGCGAACAGCGCGGATCGATTTGTCGAACGGCGGACCCTGAACCTATTAGGGTACATTTACACTGCCACGAGATGGGCCTGTGCTGAATAGCTGCCTAAGTTCAATCTGTTACTTAAACGATCGTTCATTCTGGCACAGCCGACGCCGCGATTCGCACGTCGATGTTTAAGTATATACGAATCTGCTGCGCCAATTCCTTTTCACACGTTCTCAAAGAAATGTACCTACTTGATGCTCTTATTAAACTTAAAATGGCATAATTTGTCGATACTTTCGGTATTTTCACCGTTTAATATTTTATCTACACATTTTTTTTACGTATGCGTAGAATTACTAATTCTACAGATCATAGAGATTCATCATTAGATTCATAAAATTACTATTCTAAAAATTACATCTGGACTATTAGAATCTGCATGATACGTTTCTAACTCTAAAATTGTCTCAAAATGATTCTCTAAAATGGTTTCAAACGAGAAAATTGTTCAATTTGGACCCAGAGCATAAAAGAATGTTGTTTGACCACCCAGTTTATGAAAATGAATTTGAATGAGTGTATTAGAATCGTAGTGGTGTAAGTCAGATTTTCGAAAATGTTGATTTATGCCTTAAAATGCAATCTATGCATACAAAAATATCGAAAAGACAAGTGAAATAAATTATAAAGTCACAACAAATTAACTTAACTCTAAATTATCCTACGAATAAATTTTGCCAATAAACGATACAGATGTTAGTGAATAACAACACTCCTTATTTCTCACAATGTGGAAAATGTGACTTACGCCACTATGATACTAACACGCTCAAATATGTACACATTTCATTTTTGTACATGAAAAGAGAGACTGTGTAGAGTAAGTACCCTCAAAACTATGTCAAAAAGACGAATGAATCAAATAATAAATTACTTCAAGCTCGGACGTTGATCAAATGCATATAATGCATACCAAAACATGGTCTAACGTGCACAGAATGGGTGCTGATCGAAGGCGGAAACCGCCGCAGCAGTAAGTTATAATTCCGTTCGGTGCGATGATCGTACAGGGTCGCTTCATTAGGATCATCCCTTTCCAGTCGGCCGGTCGTTACGGTGGATCGTGGCCGGTGTAAAGGTGCCCTTAAGCGAGCCGAGTACGCGCACGTACATGGACCGAACTCGGATCGTATTCGCCGAGCGGAGAAGAGAGCTCGCGCTGCACTTCGGGCTGCGCCGTGTGCGCGCACGACTATCCAGGATAACAAACGGGCGAGACTCGGACCAATGCGTCAGTATACGACGACTGGTTGCACCACCCGAGCAATAAGCAATCGCTTAGGCTCGTCATGACTCTATGCATGAGAGTTGGGCAACGCTGGATACGTACGATACGATACGATACGATACGGCGCGGTACGTACTCGTACGCAGGACGCGATTTCGCTGGTAAGCGTTCCCTCGGCCTCTCGCCGAGTGAAATATCGCCGGGCCCGGGGTTACCGGTTAGGGTTCGAGAGATCGACGTCGGCCGCTTGATCCGCACTGCGGGAGAAACTGGAGCGATCGCGATCGAGCGGACCTCCTTCGACGAGAGCTCCTTCGCGATTCCTTCCCGGTCGCGCACCGATCCCTCTTCGATCGCAGATCGGATGACTCGTGGAATCACCCGTCGTTCCTCCATCAACGTGCTCGTTCGATTCGAAAGTCCAATCGAATTCTGAGGGATTCGATAAGTATCTAATTTGATGAGGCAGATTTTTCATGTGCATATTTTGCTCGATCTTTTCTTTCTTCATCTGTTTCTCAATTTTCTAAATGAATTTTTGCGCATAAGGTCATTAATCTCTTAAAGTGGAATCAAGGCAGTTTCATAGTTTTAACCGGTCAGCTGTTGCAAACAACAAGTATACTATTTAATCAATCTAATGTACACCGTTTTTACATAATAATTATTTATGCTTTTTTGTTTGTTTGTTTTATTTCGCCTTGAGATCTCTAAATATTTTTGCCAAAATTGGAATTTAAACCGGAAATTTGCAAGATTATACTAATAAAACACAACTAACTGGTTAAGTCATTCTAATCTAAAATTAATTTATTCTTGTTCGGATTGATTTCGAAATTATCGTTTCGAAATTACAAATTTATCGTCGAAATTATAATTGGAATATGAATATACAAAAACACGTGATGTTTCTATAAAAAAATATCGTTTCTTTTCGTCATTACTATACAAAATAAAAATTTTCTTACGGAACAGCAAATAACACACAGAAGTTAAATAAAAATACAATTCTTCCTTGAACAATTGCATCGACTGCTTGGAACACGTCTAAACGACATCTAAGCACGCAAAATAAGTGCACGATGAAGCTGTTGATGTGTTCGTAGCGAAGCTAACTCTTATCTCGGTTATCAACCGTTTGTGTCCCAGGGGTTATTCAGAAAACACGGTCGAAAAATGATGAACAGCGTGATAGTGCTTGTCTTAATTAATTGCGAAGAGAACCAAGCGGCGCGATAGCCCTCGTCAACATTGACAAATAAAACAAAAAGAAAAACAAATGAAAAGAAGCAGCTATGCGATGCACGTGCGTCACTAAAGTTTCATCGCGACACAAGATCTGAACAGCGCGATCGCGCTGCTTGGGACTCGAACGGTTAAATCGTTCGCGTCCGAATGGAATTGAATAGCCATCGTGGAACTTTCACTCGTGCATCCGAACGTTGTTCAGGGTTTGCGGAAAACCGCCTAGCACGCCGAGCGTGTAAACCAATTAACCCTCGGAAGAGTAATCGTAAAATTGCGAATGGTACGCGGGTTCCAAGGCGAAATAATACGCGAAGCTTGAAAAGCTGCGATGCCCTTGCATTAGGTAAACAAGGCTGCGAGACGCGCCAACGTTGATAGGTTGATTCGCTGAAAACAAAAAGTTCGTCGGCCTGGCCGCCTCGGATTGTTGACATACCGGGCGTCGACTATAACGGAAGTGCTTTAAGAGTTCTTCATAAGAACGCCAGCCGGATCGTGGCCAATACCGATCGGGATGCGTTTTCTCCTTCGCGCGCGACGCAGGACCGACTGCGAAAGGAGAAACGCTTGTATAAAATACGAGCACCGCCGGTGAACATAGCGCACCGCGAGAGCTGGATGTCAACAGCTCTCCGGGGACCTACACGGTCGACTATCGGGGCCCGGTCCCGAACGCGGACACGGATCGGACCATTGATCGACTGCTTACTTACGGTTCTACGCGGATCGAATAAGAAGTCGCCGGTTGTGCACGGTCTCTTTGTGCGCGCCATCGATTCTTTTTCCCCCGTGCCTCTCCGCGGCTGCGGGGAATTAACGATCGCCGGGAGGGAGAAGGACAACCGTAATGAGCTTTAATTGATTACAACGTACGCGTACACGCGTAACCACCGGCTGCTAGACCGGTGAGTAATG